CCCAACTACTGAAATCCTTTAACTGTTTCTTGGAAATCATGACTAGTAGTCAGCAGACACCCCATGTCCTCAGACTTTCTCCTAAAGGTTTCTTTTCATTTCTATACCAACTGAACCTGGCGCTCCCTTGAGGCCAGTGTTTCCTTGCAGCCCACTGCAGTGTTTTTGTTTTCCTTGGTCCACTGGCCCCTGATATAGCATGTGGGGCGGTGTGTTTTGCCTCTCATTGCCACTTCTAGGACATTTTCCTTTCTGACTCCATAAGAAACCCCTTCCTTGAATATCTAACCATCGATTTTCTAACTTCTCCTCTTTCTTATAGCCATCTACCTCCCTCACGTCATTCCCCTTTATTCCTTGAAGAATTCAGTCGCTGGTTAACTACGACTGTCTCCTAAACTACTTCTGTCATAATTACTGGTTATAGTAATATGTACACAGATGATTCTTTTGATTTCCCGCCCACTTCCCATCCAGTAACCTAGTCCTCACCCTACCTCAGGCACTCACTTCTATGATCATATTAGTCTTTGTTATAGAAGTTGCTACTCTTTCATGATCTCATTTGCACACTTCCCACTGCCATAAGACAACCTCCTATATACTTCCTCAAGTACACCTACTCTATATCCTTTATTTGTTGCTTTCTTCATCCTTTATCTGTGTTTGTCAACTGAAGGCCATTTTCTCTCTCTCTCTCACACACACACACACACACACACACACACACCTGAACCCCCTCAGGAGACACTTGGAAATGTCTGGAGACATTTATGGTTGTCGTGACTGCATACTAAGAGAATGCTAGTGGAATCTAATAGGTGGAGGCCAGAAATACTGCTAAACATCCTACAATGTGTGAGACAGCCCTCCACGGCAGTTATCCAGTCCACACTATCAATAGTGCAGGTCGAGAAAGTCTGCTTAACATGACCAGTATCTATAGCCTATTGATTTTACCTCGATGTTATAGATTGAATTGTGTCCTCTCAAAAAAGATATGTTGAAGTCCTAACTCTGTGAGACAATAAGCCCATTTTGTGGTACTTTGTTACAGCAGTTCTGAGAAGCTAATGCACATAGTTTCATGGACTTATTCCATTTATGTCCTCACTTCCTACCTTGCTCAGTTTAAATAATGTTGATTGCTAAAGCAATGGAATTTACAGTCTTGCAAAACACCTATTAATTCCAATCAGGAAACAAAGAGATTGAATCTGGGTATATCCAAATCAAGTGATATAATGTTATAAGTGTATATGATAAAGTCTGGGTAATGTGATACTGGAAAAAGGGTCAAGATTTATGTAATATCCTAAGTTGATACTCCAGCAGGTTTCTATTGACATAATAGAGTCCCTGAAAAGAGCCTTACCCTGAAAACCTGGCTGAAGTTTCTTAGGTTATGCTCTGTATTGGTTCACATCTTCCACGTTTTAATTGTTTGACCATTAGCCCCACATCCACAGCATTGATGTCAAAGTACAAAATGCTTAATTTCAATCTAAAAATCCTTAATTTACTAGATTTTTGCAATTGTGTTTAAAAGCTTAAGAAAAGCAAGTTTTTCAGTTTAGAACTATGATAATACAATCTTTCTGATGAAAGTGACTCTGAAGCTAAAAATAGGGAATCTGGAAGAGTTAGCCAAAACAAAAACTTAAGCAGGAAAGAGGAATGATAATGTGTAGGGGCCTATGAAATTTCAGTTTTAGTGGATCATAAAGGATTGAACAGAAATCCCTGGAGAAGTAGATGCCAAAATTTCTTAATTGGAAAATTATGGAAAAGGAAGCTTAAAAAAGAATCCCCCAAATACCTCCCACTTCTAAAGAACACATATACATGCTCAGTATGGTAAAAATGAATCTAACTGGCTTTTTTCCAGAACTCTTTTCTGTGAAAAGGCATTGGTGGCCAGTGCCAGTTGAGAAATTAGGCTTTGGTTTGTGCTTCCTTCAGCAGAGACTGATGCCAGCTCTGTGGCTCAGGAAACAGAGCTCAAATGTTTTTTCCATTTCCTTCCCTCTTTTAAACTAATCAGTTTCCTGACAGGTGGTGGTACCACAACAGGCTTTTTCCTCTTCTAGCCAATGGGTCAATATATGGGCATGAACGGGAGGAACCTTTAAAGCAGATGATGAGAACACATGTTTGGATAGAATAAAACGTCAACCAGGTAGAGATCTCTGCCCTCCCTCTGGCCCTTTCGGGTTACTTTAGACTCCTCCTCCTGCCCAGTCACTTCTACGGGGCCTTCTGCCAAATTCCTGAGGGTTCAACCACATGGATTTTCTGTTCCTCCCATGCATCTGGGCCTTCATTCACATTTACTATTTCCTTTATCTCAAATATGAACCTTCTCTGTATCGTCCACTTCTATAGTTCCAATGCTCAGAATGGTATCTTCACATAATAGCCACTCAGAGAAAACACCTGAATGGAGAACAGGGAGAGAAGCTCTTTCAACGGCCTCTTCATTTCTTGCTTTTCTTCATTCCGGGAGCAGAGGGGACCCTCTTGGGCAGCACCAGACTTGCTTTCTGCTTTCTGCACAGGAGACATCTCACCACCGTCTTTTACGTAGCTTTCTGGAAAGTTCACACATCAGTCTTTTAAAGGTACGGATGGACTCTGTGCACTCAGTCCTTTTTTCTCATGTTGAGTGTCCTATGTCCTCCCAATCTCACAAAATAAGAGACCAGAATAAAGGAGTGCTAGGTTGACATACAAGAGACTTATACTGAGGCTGTCTTTTCTATTTACTAATCTTTTCTATTTTCTCTGTAACCTGGTGCAATTCACTGATGTCTGTACATCTCTTTCTTTGCACGTAAAGTTAAAGAAAATATTTGGCTCACAAAGTTGCAGTGAGATAATGTTTGCAAAGATTTGGTAAACTTCCTAAAGAGGTGTGTGCTCAATCTATGTTAACTGTATTGTAGTTTCTGATAATGTTATTATTAGCTATAAATGAAGGAAAATCTCGCTTCATGGGTTTCAAACTATTTCACGTGACTGAAAGTTTCTTAGAGGCATTTCAAGTTCTGCAAATGTTTAATTCTATTTTTAACAGACTTTTTAGTTTTTTAAAAATAGACTTTAGTTTTAAGTTTACAAAAAAGTCGAGCAAAAAGTATGAGGTTTCCTACATATTCCTTGCCTGGTTCCCCCTTATATAGCCTTCTCTATTATCAACACTCTTCACCAGAGTGGTGCATTTGTTATAATCAACCAACCTACATTGACACATTATTGTCACCCAAAGTCCATACTGTACATTAGGATTCACTCTTGGTATCGTACATGTATGGATTTTGGCAAAGGTACAGGAATACCTTGAAGATATTGCGAGTTCAGTTCCAGACCATCACAATAAAGAGAATGTCGCAATAAAGTGAATTACACACATTTTTTGGTTTCCAGTACATATAAAATTCTGTTTAAAATTATATTTACACTAACCTATGGTCTATTAAGTGTGCAATAGCATTATGTCTAAAAAATGATGTACATACATTCATTCAAAAATACTTTGTTGTTAGAAAAAATGCTAACCATCATCTGAACTTACAATTATAAATAAAGCTGCTACAAACATTCCTGTGCAAGTTTTTGTGTGGACATAAGTTTCAACTCCTTTGGGTAAATATCAAGAAGTGTGGTTGGTGGATTATTTAAGGAAATGCCAAACTGTTTTCCAAAGTGATTGTTTTACATTCCCACCAGAAATTAATACGAGTTCCTGTTACTCAGTATTCTTAGCAACATTTGGTGTTATTAGTGTTTTGGATTTTGGCCCTTCTAACAAGTGTGCGGTGATATCTTATTACTGTTTATACAGATGCTTATTTGCTACCTGTGTTTTTTGACGAGGTATCTGTTTGAGTCTTTGGTCTTTTTTAAGTTGGGTTTTATATTCTTATTGTTGAGTTTAAAGAGTCTTTGTATATTTTATATAACAGGCCTATATCAGATATGCATTTTGCAAATATTTACTCCCAGTCTGTGGGTTGTCTTTTCATTGTCCTATTAGAGCAGTTTTTAATTTTAATGAAGACCAGATTATCAATAAGTTCTTTAGTGAATCATGCCTTTGGTGTTGTGTCAAAAAAGTCATCACCATATAGGTGAACTCAAGTTCACCTATATTTTTCTCCTATGTTATCTTTTCGGACTTTTATAGTCTTGCAATTTATATTTAGGTTTATGATCAATTTTGAGTTAATTTTTGAGAAAGATATAAGGTCTCTCCCTAGATTTATTACTATTTTAATTTTTGCATGTAGATATGCTGTTGTTCAGCATCATTTGTTGATAAGATCACCTTTGTGCTATTGTATTGCCTTTGTTCCTTTGCCAAAGATCAGTAGACTATATTTATAAGGGTCTATTTCTAGGCTCTCTATTCTGTTCAATTGGTCTATTTATCTATTCTTTTGCCAGTAACACACTGTATTGATTACTGTAGGTTTATAAAATGTCTTAAAGTCATGTAGTGTTGGTCCTATGGCTTTGTTCTTCTCCTTCAATATTGTTTTGACTATTCTGGGTCTTTTGCCAATAAGATACAAACTTTAAAATCACTTTGTTGATATCCACAAAATAACTTGCTGATATTTTGATTGGGTTGTATTGAATCTGTAGATTGCATTGAGATGAACTAAAATTTAACAATAATAGGTCTTCTTATCCATGAACCTGGAATATTTTTCCATTTATTTAGTTCTTTGATTTCTTTCATCAGAGTTTTGTGGTTTTTCTCATATAGATCATGTATATATTTTGTTAGATTTGTGCCTAAGTATTTCACTTTGGGAAGTAAGACTGTAAATGGTATTATGTTTTTAATTTCAAATTCTACGTGTTCATTATTGGTATATAAAAAAATGATTGACTTTTGTATATTAATCTTGAATCCTACAACCTTGTTCTTATTACTTCTTAGCAACAGGAGATTTTTTGTTAATTCTATAATATATTCCACATAGATAATTGTGTCATTTATGAACAAAGATAGTTTTATTTCTTCCTTCTCAGTCTTATACATTTTATTTCCATTTTTTGTCTTACTGCATTTGCTAGGACTTTTAGTATAATGTTGAAAAGGAATAGTGAGAGGGGACATTTATTCTTACTTTTTTCCTGATCTTAGCAGAAAAGCTTCCAGTTTCTCACTCTTCAGTATCAAGGTATACAAATTTTATTTTAAAAAACACACATTAAGTTGTTATAAATTTAAAGAGAAAACAACACTCTAGTATGTTTGCATGTCTAATTTTAAATAAGTGTAGACAGTTAAGGCACTATATTTTTCTTCCAGAATTACTTCTGGGTAGTCTTGGAATGAAGCCCACTCCTCCATCCCTTAAATTTCTAATAAATTTATCGTTAATTAGGGACATTTTAGGTCTGGAGCAGTTTTTGCTTCCTTGAAAGACAACGCTGTGCTTCCTCACCTGCCCCCCACCAAAGGTGCCAGCAGATTAATGAACTGAGGCTAAGTAAAATTCTGATCAATCTATAGGAAACTTTGACGTGGAATTCAGACCCAGTTCATTAGTAGCTGGTTTAAATGTTGAGAAAGGGTTATTTCCATAATACAGATCCTGGGCTTCCCAGTACTGAATTCAATGGCAGATATAAGCCAGGCTAAAGTAGATCCATGACTCTTCCGTTGAGTCATATTAGTGTCCTGGGTACTAATCAGCATTCTAAAAAATGTATCTTATCATATTTTCAGACTTTTGCAAAACTTCATCATATATAGAAAAACAGAGAAATAAGTTGGTTAGTAAAAATTTTCCAAATTCCAGCAGAATGGATTCTGTAACACCCCCAGATCAGCCACGTAGGGCAGTTTCCAGAGGTTCTTCTGCTCACTCTTCTTCACCTTCAAGTTCAGCTTCAAATCCTTATCTGACCCTATAGATTGGCAGGGAACAAAATAATATTTGTTTGTTTTCTAATTCATAAAATTTATTTTCATTTATTTTAAGCAAATTTGTTAAGAAAGGCTTTATAAGGAATTAAAGGTAATATAATAAACATGTAATGCACCCTCACAAAGTTTAAGAAATAAATCATTGTCAATTACCAACATTGTTTAAATTCTTAGTGGGAAAACCTTAGTATTTACCAATTTTCTAAATTGTTAAAGTTTTGTTTTTTCTTGATATCTTTTGGAAATAATAAAATACTTTGTGGGAACCAGACATTTGTTTATTGTGCTATGAAACATTATATTGACTGTCGAAACAGAATACCTGTAATATGTATCAAAATGACTTTGAATTATTTATTCATTTATTCAGTAACCATATATTGAGCTTCTGTTATATGACAGGCACTTATGTTTTACTTAGCATTCTATGATGGTGTTCTTAATTTGAAGTGAGATAATTCTTATAGTTTATTCCTTGTACCATATGGTCAGTCAGGATTCTTTCAATCCCACCTCTGGGGGAAGCTCATGCACCTCGGTGCCTCTCTGAGATAAATGGATCCTCCCTGTTTTTGCCTAAACCTATACACCTATTATACTTACAATAACCATTTGCCTCTTTCAAGGGCAGTTCTGTGTTCAAATTTTTGTCTTAATTTTTAGCTCATAAAATATATTAATTAATTATGTGTAAATGGTTTCTTTGTACTTTGTTGAGAACATATACTGTGCACTTGCCACATAAAGGGAAGCATTCTGTAAATATTTGTTGAGTAAATTGATAAGTATGTCTTAATTAGAAGCAGAATTTATCAAAAGGAAAAAATGTATCACACTTTTCAGCTAAATTTGGAGCTCTTTTAAAAGGAAAGTAAGATTCATACCACCTCAAGTTTGCTCTTCTGCCCATCTCTGGCTCAAAAATCTCTGTTACAACCTTTCACATTACTGCGTTTGTACTTATATGCACACTTTTCTAACTAGAATAAACTATCTCTCCGCTTCTACTCCTATGTAAATCTTTCCCATCCTCCAAAGGCAATTCCCCTGGGAAATTTCCCCAGGACAAGTTTCTATGTTTCCATTGGCCAGTAACTAGACCTGTAAATACTTGGGGACAAAAAAAGAAAAATCCATTATTTTTTCTCTAGGCTTTTGGTTCCTATTGTTTTTTAAGTTCTTCAAATAAATATAAGGGGATGAGGGTGAGGGGACTCCTTCCATATTTTTTTCAATAAAACAAATATACATTATATTCTAAATATGACAAAACATATTGTTTAAGTAAGCAAGCCAAATGTTACATACTAGACTTTCGCACCCCCAATGTGATTTTAATATTTTTCTTTTTTAAAAAAATTAATCATTTCTAACCTCTGTCTCCTAACTTATAGTTATTGATGTACATTTGGACATTAATCATTTACTGTCTCATGAGATTACTTATATTATACTGTTTAATTACTTTTACTATAGAGTTGTTTAATTGTTTACTGATTTAGAAACATGGTAAGAGTTCTGAAAACAAAGTAGTTTCTCCAGGAATCTACTTTGGAAAAGAATTACTTTAGGGTTGATTGAAGTTTGAGAGCACTGAAATTGAGATTCCTAGGTGAAAAGGAAAGGAGTTGGAACAAAGTTTGGCAGAAAAAGTAAATTAAAATAAACGATTTAACAATAATAAAGAGTTGTATGGTCTGTATCAAATTCGAATTTGAGCACTAGGTAGTAGAAAATAGAATGGGTAAGAAGGTAGGGAACTCTTCCTGTAGTACTGGGATATTAATTTGTGGCTAATGAAAATTCATATTTTTGAGTCTTGCTGGCTTTGCTCAAATGTCCCCAATGTCCTTTAACTGAGCGTAGGGTGATTTTCCCCAAGTTTCTCTATGGAATACCCAGCTTGGCTTGAAGCTTTTGAGACCTCCATCTCCTTCATACCACTTGAAATTGAGATTCTCAAGTTAAGAGTAAATGAATTGGAACAAAGATGGTACCTCCAGACTTTTAAAAAAGGGGCCTTGTCTTTATCTGGAGCACTTCAGTAAAACTCCTCACACTCTGTCTGTTAGGTACTTCTAGGCTAGCCCTTACCTTTCTTCTCACCTTGGCCTTGGAGCTACATTTCTCCCATGACTCACCACACCCTTTTTGACTAAATTATTTATTTGGACTACTTGATTCTTCCCCAAGATTTTGCCTTCAGTTTCCCCTTTGCCCTTACAATCTATTCTTTTGTGAAGCTTCATGTTATCAAATTCAGTGTCAGTTTTCAGAACCTCACTAAAAGCAAAGCCCTCAGTTCCCTAGTTGCTAAGGAAAGAAATTTGGACATGGGTAATTGTGAAAGAAAACTAAGGAAATTGAGAGAAAAGGTTACTGGAACAGAGCAAGAACTTCCATATGAGTGGGTGAGTTGAGAAAGAACCTTCCCCAATTTGGCAATAGTGGAAGCCAGCAGGACTGGTTTTTGCAACACTTAGGCTGCCCAGATAGCAGCAAGTTTCCTGCATCCACATTGCTAAGTTCGTTTGTGCTTGGACTTCTCATTGAATGAGGTCATAAGGAAGTGAGAGGAGAGGAGCAGCATGTCTCCAGGACAAGAAAGCTCAAATACCTGCCACAGTGAATATAAGCTACTCTATACCCTCATGGAGAATAGGAAAGAAAGAGGGGAAGAACAATTCTTGAAACGTTAGCGGAAGGAAACCACTGTCGCTAAGAAAGCATGTGCACTCTTTGTTGGCCCCCAGATGCTCTGTCCCCAAAAGAAAAGCTACAGATGTTTCCCTAACAAAATAGCCTGAACATAATAGAGTAATGCAGCTATTCTGGATTTGGAGCAAGAAGACCCTTGTTCGTATTCTGCCTCAACCATCTCTGTGTCATTTCCCACGAGCAAGATTTTTAGACATTTCATGGTCATCAGAAGGTAGGAAAATCCCCAGCACTGTACTAGACAAGAATCGACAATTTTCAGCACCTAAAAATAAACAAGAGGCACAAAGACTAATTGAACTCCTTGGATATTAGAGACAGCTCTACCATTCTTAACAGTAATTTTAAAGCCTATATATTTAGTGACTAGGAAGGCAGAGATTTTGTGTGGAAAGAAAAACAAGAGAAGGCCTTACAATTAGTCAAAGAATAGATTCAGATATTCAGCACAGTACATTATCTTACTAAAGAATCTAAATTAAAATTAGACATATTATATACACAAGATTATGACACATGGGCATTATGGAAAAAAGACACCGAAGGCCTAACATTTATGCCAGTAGGATTCTGGACCACTAAATTTCCATTCTTGGAAAATTTCCAACATAGACGTGACAAAATGCACCAAACCATTTATATGTATATATAACCCTGAATTTACTAACATATCTAACCAATGATCAGCACTTATAATTAATTCAAAACTATTAGATGAAGGCCTTTTGGAAAAACGTATAGAGCTTAATACTTCAAAAATAGAAAAAATATTCAGGACCTTACCATTATCTTGCATATACAACACTATGTGACCTCAGCAAATCCACCATATATGGAGTTGCTGACAGCATTTTATAGTTCATTGACCAAACTAACATACCTATTCTGGTATTAACCAGCATCTGGTATAAACCAGATCAGGTTTATGAGCAAGTTAATGGAGAAGGAGATGAGGAAGAAGAGGAAGCTATCCCATGCACCAAAGATAACGCAACTACACTCACTATAACAAATACACCTATACCATGATATCAGGCTCTACAATTTAAATTTGCACCACAAATGGATAAGATACCTATGCCTGTGGATACCCAGAAAAATATAACTGTAGGAGACCAGGGAATAACATATTATGAATACGGACTAATAGGATTCCCTAATTTTCCAAGATTTGAAAATTTTTGCCTAGGAGTATACACAGTTCATGATAAAATAATGTACTCAAAACTAGAGGATTCTTTAACACCAGAACAATACTTTGATAAGAAATCAGGGATACTAGCACTGAGTGAGCTCAATTGGCAATAGAAAATAACCACCACTAATATTAACAGACACTCACGCACATGTAGGACCCTTACCAAAACAGGAAAGATAATAAGCAGAACAGACTGGACATGGAAACACTGTTCTCAGTACAGCTATACATGCATGCTAGGATTACAGGGAAATGTAACACAAGGAATGATGGGAAAAATATTATAAGAAGCCCAACTAAATTCAAGAACAATGAACAATAATCAGGATATCAAGGTAGAGCCCATATTAACTTGTTTTAACATATAATTACATTGGACGGACATCACACCAGAGGGAGAAGTACATATTACAGCAGAAGACTAGATCTTGTGTCCACATATAATTTACAAACTAATAATATACTGAAATAGACCACTACAACAAATACCACAGCAACTGAAGATCTAGTTGTACAACCATGTGAGGCAGCTAGGTCATGCAAAACTACATTCATACTATCGTATAACAATATTCATTTTAATATAAGTGCATTCAATAATATACTAAGAATACAGGGATTTTGGAACATATCATTAATCGATAAAGGACTACACATCATTACATGTTGGACAAAACTAGTCAGGAAATACATTATCATAGACAAAAATTCTACTTGATAGAATATCACTGGAAAGGTATCAAGAAGCAAAAGGTGAAAAGACCTTTCATGATACCATTCATAACATATAAAATAACTACATATAAAATATCTAAAAATCAAAACATCTCACATTGCTTATCAAATGCACCATAGGTAAAATATTCATAGAAAATTAGTCACAGAACCACAAGAAAAAAACAAAATACTTAGTTTTAAGAATCATTATGGATTCATATTTACATGCTTACATTCATTTAGATTATATCCAGAATTTACAGCATCATCACCCATAGTACTAGGACCATACCTACAAAAAGGAGTAAAATCTCAAACTTTTTATTCCAACCACATAACAAAAGTTACAATGTAACATAATCAAAGAAATATGTAGAGCCAGAATTATACAGTAAGCCCTTGATGTTGGCAATATGCCAACATAAATCTGATGATTATGTACAATACGCCTACCTAAGGAAAATACCATACAGAGAACAGGAATAAAAAGGTGGAGGACATTAAAAGCAAGTTTGAACCCAGAATATTTGACAGTATAGATCCAGGATTTGGATCATACTATTTTGATATAGTAATGCAGAGAGGAGATCAATGGACATTAACTACATGGTCAGTGCAACACTCTATATATCATAATGTAACTAGAATAGATAATAGGTTACCAATATTCACAGGTAAAAAAAAAAGTATCTTAGGAAGAATGCCACGTTAAGAACAGTTCCACAGGACTTTGTATAATTCAGAGAGGATATTTTAATGCCACAATATGCATGAGGAGAGCACAATGGAAACCACAGTAGATATGTGGAATAATTAGGCCAGCACCAAAACTTTTAAAACCTAATATATTTGAACCCATACTAAACCAAACCTTTAAGGATCATATGCCAACCCATACCTAGAAAAGTACAGATTACATTTAATAAGGAACGAGTTGATGTAACTAAAGTGATATGCCAATGTAAAGATTTGGAAGCTTATGGAGTAACATTTAAACCACTAATACTACCTGATCTACCACCTCTAGATAAAACACCATTAAGAAAATCATTACAACTATTAGCAGGACTAGGAATAATTACTAACTTCATTATTGCTTGAATACGAGAAGCAGAAATATGAGGGATCAAGACCAAATTATTTGATTTTAGATATATAGTTAATACTGCACATAAGGGAATGCTAAAGGTACAAAGAGAAATGTCACATACATTAAAACAAGTACACCAAATTTTAACATACATATCAGACATGGAAGAATACAACAAAGAATCCAAATATAACATAAATCAAGAGGTAGAAATACTCAAGACTAACTTATTTACGTTAAGAGATACAATTGAAAAACAGCAACTAGGACAAAAAAAAGAAAAACTATTGGTAAAGGCTTGGGATGGTGTTCGGAACCTGGTTACATTTGGAAAAGGACAATCTGACTCATGGGACACAGCCCTAGTACAGCTTAACCTCACTAAATAATGGGGTTGTAAAGGTAATGGAGAATGTGAAATTAATCTCATTGAATTAATAAGACAATCCCCCTTAGCCTATCATATTATGGCAATACCACAAGTAATTAGAAATCAAATAATACATCCAATAAAAAACCACTATATGTAGATGGATACTACTTAGAAAAAGAAATGGTATTCCAATGGTCAGACCACATATTTTATACTTACACCTCTTTAATACCATTTTTAGTCGAAATTCTCCCCCAGATACTTGCCCTACCTGAAATAAACCTGAACTTAGGAGAATATTAATGGATATTGTGCTCCAAGTATACTACTATCTTTTATTATAGATATAATAATGAACTGTACAGAATGAGTGTATTAAACTGACAAATGTTATAAATATTACTTACACTACCTGTATTACAAATATATTTAGGTTGGCCACATACATACCAGAAATAGAGAGTTCCCACAGTCATATTATACTAATATTAAAAAAAAAAAAAAAAACACCTTGGCTCTATATAGAAACAGGAGATAAACACAGTCAAGATCATTTACTGTCATTGTATTCCTTACGTAAACTCACTAAAACGGAAATCACTGCTTGGGAACCCAAGCTAAGAATCTACACAAAGCAGTGGCAATATTAAGTACAAATATTTTATCAACTAAGGCTATATCTGAACTCAACCAATGTTTTTCTTTTTGGCAATTAATTGAAAGAACTTTCACATCTACTGTTTGGAAAAGATCATGGTCAGATTGGAACCTTATTAACTGGATCAAGTCAGGACTTTATAATATTTTCTCAACTATTTGGAATCATTCTCAGAGCATTGCATTAATTATACTTGCTATTGGATATACTTATTGTTATACTTATTGGATACTTGTTTGTGAAACACTGTTTGATGGCTTGTATTTGTAATAAGTACCACTGGCCTTTCATGGCCAGGTCAAAATATAATGCATGATTAAATTTTAGTATTATATTTAGTATTATATTTTAGTATTTTATTTGCATGATTTTAGGATATAAGTGATTCCTCCTCACCATCTGTGATATAGCATCAAAGAATCAAGGAGTGGAATGTATAGCGCATAAAGAATTGAGAACATTTTTGGACTTTATAAAATGTATTCCCTGGGAGCCATGACAGTAATGTCAATTGACACATAATGGGAAAACCGTTAGGGTGTGACTGAAACTCCCCAAACTGCAGAATCATCAGCGGTGACAGCTCTGGAGAAGTTCCACTCTGCAGGAGCCAATAAGTTTAAGGATCCCACCTTGTAAAGTCCATATAAGCTAAACACTTCAGATAGACAATGCCCCAGCTTGAAACCTGAGAGCATCATGGAGGGGTGTGCTGAGAGCCAAAGACTCTGATCTGCCCGTCTTTGCCGCTGGCTTGCGACCAATGCACAGCTATCTGTGCCTCCAGTTAACAGAGCTCATTTTGCAGACACTAAGGACTTTTATCCCTTTTCTCTGATGTGTAAGACTTTGTACTTTCCCTTTCTGTGTGTCGTGTGTTAATCTGCATGGGTACCTAATGGGTTTATCTGAGAAGGTTCCACTAAGTAACCTGGCATTGTGGAAAGACACAAACATGTCTAAGGATGTTACTTTGGTAGCCGCTTTCCTTGCTTGCCACAGAAACAAACTTTTTGAGGGGCAGCAGTGATCGCAGCCACCTAGTGCTCTTCAGAGAGTCAGAGAAGCTGTGTCTCAAAATTTCCCAGGTGAGAACCAGTGCCAGGAGGAAAACAGGACCAACCCAGAGTATCTCCAATACATGGCCAGGATCATTGCATAGCAGCTAAGATGGCATCAGTGAGGGGAGAATTTCTTTGGAAATGGCTTTCACTTTAGGCCATAAAGCATGGTCTAGAATAATGAGTTTAGAGAGGCAATTTGACACACTCCAGCCTCAGGGGGAGTTGCTTTCTTAATGCAAATATCATGAATATGTGTAAACACTCTGAGAATTTAGGATTCTCACAAGGAAGGTGACCAAAGAAGAGGAGAGAAACTTAATATTATGAAGGGCAATTCAATATAAAGGCTTTATTAGGCTTTGATTTAAATAATAAAAAAATATGACCTTACTTGTTCCTTTATCCAAAGTGTGTTCAATTGATTACCCTTCTAGATATGATTACAAATGCAATAAACTAATCTCAGACTATTAGCTTAGATTTGCAAAAGATATCACATTTCTTTTATTCAAAAAAGAAAAAAATCTACTTATCCAACATTTTTCTCTGCTTCCAAATCAAAAATTATTTTTTCACATAGAAAGAATTCCTGTTTTAGAGAGAGGATTGAACTTGGGTCTTTTTGAACTCTAAGAAAATATGATTATAAATGTTGTAGCCGCCAGCCCCCGAAAGACACACGGACCACCAGAAATCAGTAAGTTATAGGAAACACGCTCTTTATTCAGCCAGCTGGGTCTGCCAGGGGTACGCAGACCCCAAATTAAGCAGCCCCGAAATGTAGAAGTACAGGGTTTTTAAGCCCTAAATCCCATTCCTCATTCTGTCTTAAACACAAAGGTCTATTTTTCTCTTATTCACTACCTGTCAACCCACAGGTCAGGTGTGCAAGCGGGGGTACAGAAGCAGAAAGCTTATTGTTAGAATGTTATGTTCCCATGGGTGATAGCCTATCAAGTCATTTGTGCAAGCGGGGGTACAGAAGCAGAAAGCTTATTGGAGATAGCCTATGTTCCCATGGGCGATAGCCAAGCAGTAATTTTCCAGCCAGCACATAAGCCTACTAAAAAATAAAAATACCATACATATGCTAAGTCACAGTTACTTTTATCATTCTAAGTATTAGCCTTTAATACCATATTGATGGTTGTATTTAAGCAAGCCAAGTAACTTTTTTTTTTTATGATCATACTAATTCAGGCTACTATTTGAGCAGTTAGAAATGTAGTTTGATTTTATTAACAATGTGACATAGTAGGAAAGTTGTAAAAACTACAAGGAAATATAAATACTGTGAAAGATACAACAACAACAAAAACATGAGAAGAAAACAAAATAGAGAAATTAATGTTATTAATTCAGCAGTTAGGGTAGTTTTAAGCAAGTTTTAGTATCTCTTAAAAAAACTGGGCCTGCCATGTTTTGGCAGACGAGAACATTCATTCATGAGGAGACTATATGAGGAGGCTCCATTACTAAAAGTTTAATAATAACACTCTTAACTGAGGCCCTTGATATAGCAATGCATTCAACCAAGTTATGGGGCAGGAATAATGAATAATAAAGTTTTGCACATTAAATGTGGTGTCTATATTGAAAAAGAAGAGGAAAGATTGCATTTCTGGATAAGAATCTTTAATGACACCAGAACCAATACTCTAGAAAGTAATACGTATAGTAATACACACACACACACACAAACACACACACATACACACACACACACACACACACCAGGTGAGATGAGAGCGGTGACTGGTTAGAGCAATATATATATACTTTTTATTAATTTTATTAATTAGAAATCTACCTATGATTGTTATATATCGCATCATACTCATCTTAAGTTTGTTGTTCTTGAAGAAGTAAATATTAACATAAGAGTTTTCTTAGAGAAAGAGAATTTTGAAAGAATGAAGAGGGTAGCTCTTCCATACATAGATGAGAAGCAATAACTGAGTAGTTCTAACTGGTCAGACATGAAGAAAGGAGGAGCCGTTGAGACAGAAACTGCTGGGTCATGGAAATATTTTGTGATAGAAAAAAGAATAAAATTGGGCAGAAGGTAAACTCTCAGAAAAATCTCTCCTAAAGGAGGGCCAATCAACTAAACCTTATCACAAGATTGAAAAGATCTTATCACAGGAAGAAAAACAAACAAATAAAAAACTGAGTTTTAATAATAAAGGTAGAAGAATATCTCATTTTATATGTATTTTTCCCTTTTATCATCTCTGTAATATTTGTTTTACTTAATTATATATGCATAATAAAACATTTCCAATCAATAAATATCAGTAAATAAAGTTTTATTTTGCTTACCCAAGAGAGATGTCTACTTTTAAATTTTGCTCCTTTGCTCTGATCAGTCACCCACATTCACCTGGTATGTTAATAGAAAATTATTATGAGAGAACTCAATAGAAATTGAAGTGTAAATAACTTTCTCTTTTACTATACCTCAACTTGGATTTACAAGTAGCAGATATCTATTGGAGTCATTGAGTAAAGTCAGATGAGTAAAGAGATTGGTAAGAGGCTGTAGGAAAATCTAGATAGAAGTAGGCAAAAGTAAGTCTGGGTCTTCAGGAGGCTATTGTAAGTACATTCAGTGAGTATGTTCCATAGTAACCATTTTATTATTCAGAGTTGTACTCACTGCAACTCACTTCCTTATTTCACAAAAAGAATCTGCATAAGCATTGTTTCTGAAACAATGCAAGACCTGTTATTGGAGCAAAAGAAGTCCATCTGCCTGCATGAGTCTGAGCCAAAGAAGAAATACATGCATGCTTTGCAGCAAAGAAAGTAAGGTTTACTTAGAGAGTTGCAAGTCTTGGAGACACAAGCAAGCTATTGCTCTCAATAACTATACTTCCCAGAGGTACAGATCATTTAGGAAAATATCAGTAGTCATGGAAACTGGGGCTTTGGGTGCTACTAATTGGGCAATTGGAGGGGGATGAGGTAACCGATCATTGTGTTTGGTTCTAGACTCACCCATAGCGCTATCCTGCTGGTCCCCGAGGCTTGGTCCCATAGCCTGTGGGGTGCTCTGCCTCAATATGTCTGGAGCTGAAACACACCTAAGGCTAAGATGCTATCCTTAGTGAAACCGAAACTTACTGTCCTCATGACTTTAGACCTGAGGCTCCGTTAATCTGTCCTAAGGTTAATGTTTAAAAGAGCAGGCATACAGAAGTGGAAAGATAAGGGTGGAAAAAGCAAGTGAGTCACAATGCCATTATCTGGGCAAAACCAGCTTGAATCAGAGGGAAAAAAACCTATATTAAAGAAATGAAATGAAGTTTGTGTACAGTTACAAACCCAGAAATACAATAATTCCTACATGATTAATGATATCTTTGTATCACAGCACTTTCATGAATTATATTATTTATAATCATTTTACATATCAGGAAACTGAAGTTCAGAGATGTGACGGGACTGACTCAAAGTCTCATAGCTAGTTACTGGCAATGGTAGGACTCAAATCCCATTCTCTTATTTCTCAATTC